GAAGACGATTGTCTGGCATGCTTAACACCTGTCCTGTCCATCTTAATCAATGCAGCTCCACAACCTCATCAACTGACATATCCTCCTTACTTAAACCCTTACATCTGAACTTAAAATCACTCTTAACTAATTACCTAGCAAAGGCGTTTATGTGTCGGCCAAGTCGTCAGAGGTATATTAAAACTGTCGCCTAATTTAAACGGATATCTGGAAGAAACTGACAAGAGACAATTATCTGTGAGGTTTTAACACTCACTATTGGGATCACTACTTCTAAATATGTATAACATGACTTTAAAACGTCACTTAACGTTGTGGCTGAATAGTACTGGACATAGCAGTTACTTATTCTTCACAGTCTTCAATGCAAATGTCTACATCAAGGAAGATGGATATGAATTCACCTAGGCTGCCGATCATTAGTAATTCTGTTTATAGAAAGGCTTCAATTAATTTTCAGGCTTCAACAATGATATCTATTGATCAACCAAAAATGGATTGTTTTATTGCTTTTATTGTTTTATCAGCACTACACAACAACCTTTTCCGGGTATTTTTTTTCTTACTTTAATAGGAAGGTGCTTAATTCTTTTAATTTTATTTGATTTTACATTAAGTTGGACTTCCTGCTGATTGATTATGTTGAACCTAAGAGTTAGGTCTCTGTCAACATGCCAGCTCTTAGCACCAATTCGCGTCTCAGTGGAGATACTGTGGCGTGTGCAGATGAATAGGAAGCTGCCAAAATATGAGTCAATAATAACAGAGTTAACGTTGTGGTCATGAAAAAACTTATTTAACCCTGGGCCGGTTGCCAACCAATCAGAATAATTTATTATCCTCTGACCTAGCGAACTTTCAGTGTGGTTAAAAATGTATGATGATATGATGTGTTTTTCCTTATTAAAAATATCCGTTACCTAGTCTCTTGTCTTCTCCCACTAAAATATTATCAATCACTAGGAACGCAGTTACATTCAGCTCAAATTCCGCTGGATTCTACAAGCAGTCACAAACAACCGAAATAAAGATACACTTTGAAAATTCTGCGTCTGTGGTACAAAGGTAGAATGCTTGCCAACCATGCCGCATGTGGTTCGGCGCTCAATGCCCCGCCATGGACGCACTCCTAAACCTCACTTATCCTGTAATAAAACTGGTGAAGAGGGAAGGTTGGACGTGAGGCTACCAATCCCACTCCGTCAAAGTGGGCACCACTGCTACCAAAACTTCAAACCTCAAGCTTGAAGCCCCATGTTCCACTGGGAGGGGGGAAGTAAAGGAATAATAAAATAAATAACATTCCTCTCTGAAATTTGGATTTACCTTCCCTTAAGAATTTCAAATTCTTAACACGTCGATTATGTTGAATTATTTGAAATAATTCTTTTCTAGACGAATTTTAGTAGGAAAATGTGACAAACTTTGTCCAACTGCCTAAAATGTCATTAGTATCGTTTCAAGAAAGAATTAGCACCACATTGAATGCAACAATATTCCTGAGATATTTCTTTTCAGTATCGAAGATATACCTTTGGAAACACTAAGATTTTATATTTAACCTAACGAAAATTAGTATGTCTAGATTTTAAGGAGGTTTCTTTAGAAGTTCATTGACTTCAAGATTAGTTCACCTCAAAAATCGGCATCAGTTTATGAATTGTTGAGGTTATAGAAGTACTCGATGACCATTTCGTTATACAAGAAGAGAACTTGGATATTGTGATGGAGTACAATGCCATCATAGAGTAAATTTAAATTTGATAAAAATACACAGTGTTATACAGTATTATTTAATGATGACATTTTTCGGCCACAATATATCACTGATCATCGGGACAGTAAAAACCAATGGCCGGATAAAATTGGTCATATGGCTCAAAATCCTCGTTCTAAATGGCTGGTGTAGATGCATCCACTCCTTGTGACTTATGATTTCAAATGAAACTATATTGTTCATCATTATTACTATTCCTTTGTCTCACACCTCTGTTTACTGTCTCTATTATGCATTCCTTCTACTTTCTTCTCTTGCTTTGTGTGCTACAAGGAGGGAGTGTGGCAACTTCAACTACTGCACATCGGTGCAAAGTTCTGTGTCGAAAACAGACAGACAGACAGACAGACATATCAAGATACTCACACAACTTTCTAACTCGGTTTATATGATTCCATTATTTCCTATGTATCTGGTATCGGTGTTTAGACACTTCCATTGCACGTGTTAAGTGTGGATTCGATGAAAAGAGATTTAATAATCACCCAGTCTCTTTCCACCTACTTATACCGCATTTAAAGCCATAAAGTGATTCAGAGACAAACTGTCTATGCTGAAAGACTTCATGAATCTATTTAGACGAAGATAATAAAACCTACAAAATACCTCATAATGACCGTGAGGTCAACTACAACTTAAGTAAGACCAGTAGATTGGATGTAACCAAATTATCGAGACATAAGAATTTAGCCAAGTGTAGATTGATTAATTCCACGAAAGTGAATAGTCGCAGTGGATGCATTAACGCATGATCACACAGGGCTACAGCTCTTAAATGCAATATAAGTTGATGGAGAGATAGAGTTTAATGATCGAATCTACACTTAACACGTGAAATAATGGTGTATCAACGCCGATACCAGATACTTGGGAAATACCACTACTACCAATAAAATTGAGGGATGAGAAATAACGGAATTGGATGGAGGATTTCATTATGAGCTGATATCAATTACATAACCACTGGAAAACCTGAATGGAGTACTACACAGCTTTTTCTCGATGAAGTCCTCCATTCAATCAAACAAAAAGTCCCTACAAAATTAATCTGATGCTCACTAGTGACTGGCTATGTTCAGGTAGTTAGTTACCTGGAGTTCTACTGGGAAGCTGTGACCAGTAGGATGCAGCAGGTGGAAGGTGAGGACAAACACTCACCACGGATGACATTAGATAGTAGTGGCGCTATGTGTCATGAATTGGTAGAAGTTAGAATTCATGGGTTGGCCATTGGATCTGGTCGGGCCCCAGTGAATGACTTAATGGTCTACGAGCTGACTTGCCTTGTAACCAGGAGGTCCTGTGTTCGAACCCCGGCGGTGGATGAGTACTGGTGAAGAGTCCCACACCAAGACAAAACAACTGTGCAGTACTCTCTCATGGTTTCCAGTGTTTCTCTAACTGATGTTAGCTCATGATGAAATCCTCCAACTAAACAAAAAATTCCCGGCAAAACCAATACTTGAAAAATAATTGAAATGTATACACGAAGCTGTAAAGTTGTGTGAATGCTTTGATATGATTATGCGTAGTAATAAATTGTGGTTGGAAATTACCATCACTAAATAATACTGTATAACATTGTGTATTCTTATCAAATTTAAATTTACTCAATGATATTTTGGTTGTTATCTGGAACTTCTGAAAAGAGTTAAGTTTCAACATTTTTCAACTTCAAGAAAAATTAATTTTCACAGCATTGAACCTTGTACATATAGAGTGTGTTTTACCAAGAAAATGGGATAAATACAATCAATATGTTTATACAAGTACACAAAAATATCTTGTGTCATTATTTTCTAATCAATAAATTTAAAACCATAGTGTGATTTACCAACATATGAGTATAAATGTAGGTATTCACGAGTATACACATAAAAATGCAAAATAAGTGAGTACATTTCCATTACATTTCTATTGACAGGTTTAATGACGACTCGCATGCATGACACATCCACTTGTATGTATGATTCAATATTGGTCTTAATCACTATATTTTCATTTAATATGATTATTATTTATGATTAGTTCCTTTAATTCCTAGAGGAACATAGGGCTTCAGCCGTGAGTCTCCATTGCGTCCGGTTATCTGCCAACCTTTTCACCTGGCTCCAGGTCTGCCCAAATGCTTTCATCTCCTCTTCACATCACGTCCTCCATGTCACCCCACCCTCACAACAACGACCAACTCGCCGCTTCCTTTTCGGCCTGGTTCCACTCGAGTAATGGCTTGTCTAGTGATGTCACTTGATGGCGTGTTTTCTCAGAGTATGGCCAGCCAATCCATCTCCATTTTTTCCTGACTATATGTTACACAATCGGTTCCTGGTTGGTTTGCTCCCAGAGATCCCTATTGCTGATCTTTTCTTTTAATATTATTAGTTATTCATATTTATGGAAGGTTTAGATCAAGGGGTAATTTCTTAGGGGGAGATTTTATGTACTTGACGTTTTTATTTCAGGACTTCATCATTAACTGACATCGATTAGAAAATCTGCAAACAGTACTGGGCAACTGTTGCAATCGTCCTAGTTCGGGACTCTTCACCAGTAAGCAACCACAGCCAGGGTTCGAACCCAGGACCTTCTGGTTACAAGGCGACCCAGCTCGTAGACCATTCAGCAGCCACTCATTGGGACCCGACCACATCCTATAGCCAGCGCATGAATTCCAACTGCTGCCAATTCGTGATGTAGCGCGACCACTTCGCAATGTCTTCTTCGATGAGAAATTATCCTTACCTTCAATGTGCTGCACCCTATTGGTCACGGTTTCCCACTAGAATCCCAGGTAACTACCCAACCTGAATATGGTCAGTCGCTAGTGAGCATCAGATAGATTTTCAAGTATTCGCTTTGGTTCGAACCCTGGTGGTGGGTGTGTACTGATGAAGAGTTGCAAACTAGGCTGAGAAAACACCTATCCAGTATTCCGTGCAGGTTTTCCGGTGGTTCTCTAACTGATGTTAGCTCATGATGACAAAAAAAAATTGTTCCTCTGAAAACAACTTTACATATTTGGCTGCATAAGACTTTTTAGGATGAAAAACGGAATCCCCCTAACTTTTGTTAGGATTACCTACTAGAAATATTTTCATTCTGTCCAACTACTAAATTTGATAATTCCCTTTACTTTAAGGTCAGCAATTTGAAAATTATAAATCACATTTTAAAATTCAAATATATGAATAGATAAAGTTATCCTTCAGACACTGAAACTCACCTAATCCATATGCTGTCAAGTCCAGTGTATTCAAGCATCGATTCAAACCAGTTTTGAGTAGTTCTTTCATATCATTACCAATTTGCTTTTTACGAAATAATCCAAATACCAAAGCATCTCCATACTCTCGACAACATTTACACTTGTTATGTTGATTACGTTGTGATTGTTGACTTGTTGGCTCATTAAAAATTAAGTCATCAGTTTTAGAATTAGACATGAATAACTTTCACAAGTGTATGTATGATGGAGAAGAAGTAACCGGAAAAAATAATGATAATAAATTATGTATATTATAGTATGCAATCCACTTTTGAGCACAAGAATATCAGAAGACGTAGCTTCTGGATAAAATAGAGTTTTTAAAAAAAAATAGTAAACACAATCTTTCTTCTTATTGGTCAATTTCAGGTGCAAATCTTATTGGTCCATTCTAATGCACAAGCAGTATAGACTATTTACTAAGAAAATCTGAAAATGAGCTCATAAACAAACATGTACATGCATTATGACCTTAGATTTTCTTTTTTCTCTCTCACTCTCTTGCACTCACAAACCCACACACACACACACACACACACACACAAACAGGAATACACACATGTGACTAAATAAAAATGAGTATTACCATTAATATTGATTGCAGTTAGTTAACTACAACCAAATCGTTTTTTATTCTTTGGTTCTATATTGGAATTACATTACTGTTTGTTCTCTATTGTATGAAGTGAATTGACAGAAAGTGTGATTCGAATTGATTATGGACTCGATTTCCACCGTGTATTCGGACTTTTACTTGTGAAAAAGAAATATCAACGAATAGCCAGTTCTCTAATGTGACCAGTGAGAAGTCGTGACCAGTAGGGTACAGCAGGTCGGGTGTGAGGACAAATACTAGCCGAAGACATCGGCTAGCGGTTGCGTTATATCGTGAATTGACAGCAGTTAGAAATCATGGGCTGGCCATTGAATCGGGTCCCAGTGGCTTAATGGTACACGAGCTCGCCTTGTAATCAGAAGGTCCTGGGTTCGAACCTCAGTGAGATGGGTGCGTACTGATGAAGAGTCCCAAACTAGCGTTGACGAAACAGCTGTCCAGTACTCACAGGTTTTCCAATGGTTCTCTAACTGATGTCAGCTCATGATGAAATCCTGTAACCATTCAACCAAATCCCCACAAACCAATATTTGAGTTCTTTAAATTGTTTACCTTGTTTGTTTTTTCTACCACTTTTCTAAGTATCTCCTTGTGTCTGATATTGTCACCTGTCATACGACTGGAAAACCGATAAAGTTGGATGCAGGGGTAACAGTCCCACCCAGTAAAAATACCCATCGATAAATTAAAATTTATACAATTCCAGAAGACAAACTTATGCTTTGGTGGAGTTGGAAAGACGCAATGACGCGAGTTGGTGAAGGCCTTCAGTAAGCTACTGGACCTCTCTGTCTATTTCAGATCAAAGCAAAATTAAGCATAGGAACATGGAATGTTCATACTATGCTTAAGGCTAATAAAGCTTCTCAGATTACACAATAAATGAGAAAATATGATACAGGAGTGTTAGAAATTTGTAAGAATAGATAGAATAAAGGTAGACTCTTCGAATGGCTAACTGGGGATTTGGTAAACTGTTTCAATTACATAAATGACAAACTATGATCACGCTGACGGGTGAGGTTAACATGATACCACCAACGACATGGAAGGTACCTATGCAATCTAAACTAATCTCTTTCAGGATAAAGGTGGTGATGTTCACCTCAAAAGCAAGGAAAGTTAAAATTATACAACGCTATGCACAACAAGGAAAACAAAGTTGACAAAGAGAAGATGAAAGAATTCTACAGATAACCGCAAACAGTAGTCAACAAGATCTTTGCCAAATGGTGACATAAATATTTTAAAGGCTTATATGAATACAAGCCTAACTGAAAGAAGACTCACCTTGGTTTGAGAAGCTGTCGGAGAGATGAATAAGAATGGTGAACACGTCTCAGACTTAGGTCCCTCTATTGATTTGGCGATTGGCGACAACTTATGCAAGCACAAAGACATATATAAGGGAACACGGATTTCACCAGATGAACAAACGAACAATGAGAATAGGAAAGCAGCCAACTAAACACAAGATTGAGAAGATGAGCAGATGCAGTATCAGACCAATATCTAGTGCAAGGGACCTGCAGTATCACGTTGAAAGCCTTCGAAGATGCTGCAGATAGACCACAACTCATATTCGACATTCAGAAACTGAACAGTGAAGCTTTAAAGAAATACCAAGGTAGCTATCAAGAAAATGTCACGGACACTAGGCGAAATAACAGAGAAAACCTGCGTGGACAAATACTGAAGCTCTTTGAAAGCGAAGTTCTTGGAAACTAGTGTAGACATACTAAGCAAGAAGAAAACGAAGGATAGCAAATTACTCAATAAGAAAGAAGGTTGGTGGTGCCAAGGCTGAACCCGTGAAGAGGTGACCAAAAAAAGAAAAAGCTGATTACAACTTTCAGAACAATAAAGGAGGAGTAAAAAGCGGTCGGGTGTTCGCGACCCTAAAATCAATGAGAAGATCTGTAGCTGTTAACACAATGAAAACAATCCACTTCATTGATATAAGAATAAAACTTGTGCACTGTGGTAGAGTATAATTCCATTATGGGTAAATTTTTGTTTTGATAAAGTTCATTTAATGAATGAATGAATTCAGGAATTCGTGTGAGTACCTTGATATGATTATGAGCAATAAATTGTGCTCGAAGCGTCATCAGTAAACATTACTGTATAACACACTGTATAACACTGTGAGACTTTATCAAAACAAAAATTTACCCATAATGGAACAATCCAATTCAAATACCAATGTCAAATCACTCCTTCCTTACGTTTCACAGACTTGATACAACCAACACCAAACATGCTGTAAGCACCTTCACTCCATACTGAAGATCAGATTGTCGGCCAGATCGGATAAACAACAAGGAACCGTTACAGTAAGCCAACAAGCCAGTAACATATGCCACATAAAATACACCGATAAAAGTGGAGAGGACCTAGAAATTCTCTTCACAGACATTCACGCGGGCCGCTGAATGAAACCTGAATAGGCAGTGACAAGTAAGGTGACTGGAGGTGAGGAGGGAGGGAATGAAAGCATTCTTGACAGTTGTGGAGCAGGTCGTAAGCGGCGACAGAGAATTGAGTGCAATGGAGACTTGTCTGTATTCCACTCGAAACGCAACGAATGAATGATAATAATAATAATAGTGTGTTGCTATATTAAGTCGACGCCTTATTCCTCCAGCTTACATTAATAGTCGTTTACAATCATTAGTGATTTGAGAATCAGATGTGAAATATAAAAATACAGTTAAATGTAATATTGAATGCAACCATAAACATCATGATTTAAAGTCAAGAAAGTACATTAAGATTCCAACTAATTAAAGTTGTGAATAAAGATAAGTCTCGTGTCCTTGAAAAATATATTCTTCACCCTGTAATTGTCAAACTGTTAGTTTTATTTTTAACCCTTATGCTGAAGAGTCCCAAAGTGGGACAAAACAGCTGTCGAATACTCCGGACAGGTTTTCCAATGGTTCTCTAAATGATGTTAGCTCATGATGAAGTCCTCCAACCAACCAATCAAATAAAAAGAACCTCTACAAAACCAATACTTGAAAATATACAATCTTTCTTTATTTCTGACTCCTTTATCTACTGAAGCATCAGATGGGTGAATGGTGTTCTTTACACAGAAGCCCTGATTATTATGAATTCAGCCATTATATGGATGCTTTTTAGCTTTATCTCAACCCGTCAATAGAACAGGAAATAGATAAATAAACACTGTGAGTATATTACACTTAAAAATTAAGTGATTTTTGTGGACATGTGACTATACCACATGTATGCTAGATTGTGTGGCAACCATAAAACTAAGTACTAATGAGTAAGTGAAATTCTGTGTTATGCTACTGTTTTGCACTATAATGGTTAATATATATATAATCACTTTATTTGAAGTAATAATGGTACTAGGGAATAGAATTTTCAGAGTTTGAACATATCCCAACAATTTAGCTCCTTTTATGCTAAAACCACGAAAAAACAACTAGAATATTTATTATTATTATTATATCCTTTAATTCCTAGAGGAACATAGGGCTTCAGCTGCGCATCTCCATTACCTTCGGTTTTCTGCTAGAGTTTTCACCCCACTCCAAGTCTGCCACCACTCTTTCATCTCCTCTTCACATGACCTCCTCCAAGTCACCCTTGGACGACCAACTCACCGCTTCCCTTTCGGGTTCCACTCGAGCATTGGCTTGTTTAATGATGTAAATTTATGATTCCTTTTCTCAGAGTATGGACAACCCATCTCCATTTCTTCCTGCCTATTTGTTTCACAATCGGTTCCTGGTTGATTCGCTCACAGAGATCCCTGTAGCTGATTTTTCTGGCCCGCCATCTGATTTTGAGTATTGAGTGAAGACAACTGTTAATGAAAGTCTGTAGTTTGTTTGAGATGCTCTTTATGACGCGCCAAGTCTCTGATCCGTATAGTGAGTAGCACTGACTGACTGCACATTGAAGTTGAAGATCAGGATCTTATTTTTGATGCTGAGTGCTTTTGACCTCCACACAGACTTAAGAGTAATGAAAGCATGTCTTGCTTTTCCAATTCTGGCTTTGATATCCTCGTCAATTCCGCCTGTAGTTGAAACGATGCTTCCTAGGTTGGTAGGTGAAGGAGGCTGTTTCTTTCAGATTCCTCCCATTTATGCTGATCAGGAGAATACATAATAAATATTATATCATAGGAAAATGACATAAACAGCAAAGAGAATAGGACGAAACAGCTGTGCAGCACTCCCTGGTGGTTTCCCAATGGTTCTATAAATGATGTCAGTTCATGATGAAATCCTCCTCCAATCTATCAAACAAAATGTCCCTACCAAAGCAATACTTGAAAATTTTCTTTTCAACTATTCATTCTTATAGGCTGCTGTACAACAGTAATTATATTTAACAAAGAAATCATTAGAACCAATCAGATAATGGTAAAATTTGTCCTCGAGAAATGTATTACTTAATGTAAGGTGTAACCTAGACGGGGTGAGTAATTGGAAGTTAGAAAAGTGGCAGAAGTCGGCATGACGTAATTAGTATGAGAAAATGACTAATCGATATGGCTGTGTAGAATGGACAGGAACTAGTGGAAAGACGATAAAGTGTTTTTTACGAAATCTGTATGAAAACCCAATTTTATTAATAAACAGTAATAAAGAGATAATAAAGTGTGGATGATGGAAATAATAATGATAATAAAGTAATAACAATAATA